CTGGGGGTCTGGATGGCTGGCACAGAGCAGTCGGGGTCCTGAAGGCCTTGCCCCTCCTCGCTCCCGTTTTCTGCAGACAGCCGGTGAGTGGGGAGAGACTGGGGGGTCATGTGCAGTATAGCGGCGGCGGCGGCGGCGGCGGCGGGCATGGGTATTTATATAACCCGGCGTGGGTATTTGCGGCGGCGGCGGCGGCGGCGGCTTTATGTTCCTTTCCTAACCTGCGGGTTTCCTGGCTGCGGCGGCGGCGGCGGCGGCGGCTGTTGGCGGAAAATGGACTGGGGTGTGGGGGGGGTTGCGGCGGCGGCGGCGGCGGCGGCCCCCCCCCCCCCCCCCCCCCCGCCGCCCCCCGCAACGCGGCGGCGGCGGCGGCGGCGGCTTTCTTTCTTCCCTTGGAGTGTACACACTCGGGAAGGCGGCGGCGGCGGCGGCGGCGGCGTGTGGCGTGTGGGTTTCCTGCAAACGTGGACTGCGTTCCCCTGGCAGCGTGGCACCTCAGCTGAGACAGGCCAAGCATGTGGGCAGTGGCCCTTGATTGAGAGCCCAGAGTTTGGCCAGCTGGGGTGGAGGTCCCTGCCTCATGGTTATTGGTGCGGCGGCGGCGGCGGCGGCGGCAGCCAGGTTGCTGGGGTTGGCCTTTCTCTCCTGGGCGCGGCGGCGGCGGCGGCGGCGGCATCTCCCTCCCAGGCTGGCCTGGTCGTTGGGGGCAGGCGGCGGCGGCGGCGGCGGCGGCATCTTCTGTGCCAGCACAGCTGCTCTGCAGTCTTCCGCGGCGGCGGCGGCGGCGGCGGCGGGAGACCACCAGGTGGGATGGCCGGAGCCGTGTCCTAGGCGAGGCTGCTACCGTCTACAGGGTGGTGTGGGGCAGGTGGCGTGGCCTCTGTGGGGCGGCGGCGGCGGCGGCGGCGGCGAGTTCCCTCTTGCTAGTCCTTGATGCTGGTTCTCTGCGGCGGCGGCGGCGGCGGCGGCCTGCAGTCCCTGGTCCCTGTGCCCACGGCAGCACTGGCGGCGGCGGCGGCGGCGGCGGCTCTGCTGACCAGGAACAGGGTGTCCAGACTTTTGCCCCAGGCCAGAGCAGAGGGGTTCCTCCTAGGGTGGCCCTGGCCCTGAGGAAGGAGAGAAGGCGGCGGCGGCGGCGGCGGCGGCACCCCTCGGGGGCTGGCGGCTAAAACCCTGGCTCAGTGCCCTCTGTTCTATGAGGGCGCTCTTAGGAGACCCTCCTAGTCTTGAAGGATGCCAGCGCGGCGGCGGCGGCGGCGGCGGCTACGGGCCTCCACGTGAGGTTCTTGGTGTCATGATGGCGGCGGCGGCGGCGGCGGCGGCGGTGGGGGTCTAGGGTGTTTCTTTCCTGCCTTCCCCGCGGCGGCGGCGGCGGCGGCGGCCTGCACGGCACGCTGGGCACCGCTGAGGTCTGGCCTGCGGCGGCGGCGGCGGCGGCGGCTGGTGAGGTCTGGCCTCTGGGCAGGGGCAGTACTTGGCGGCGGCGGCGGCGGCGGCGGCAGCCTGGGGATAGGAGTGGAGAGGCCCTGTTGTTTCAGAGGTGTAAGAGGGCTGATGCCCGTTGTGATCCTTTGAGAAGCTTCTGTTGAGGGGCCGCGGCGGCGGCGGCGGCGGCGGCTATGCTTGCTTGGCCTCCTCCCCTCTGGCCACACTGGCGGCGGCGGCGGCGGCGGCGGCTGTGGAGTGCAGGCTGTGGGCCGCCTGACACCTGCAGCGGCGGCGGCGGCGGCGGCGGCGTCTTCGAGTTCCTGGTGGCTCTGCCTGGCCTTGGGGCGGCGGCGGCGGCGGCGGCGGCACTTCACTGACCCTCATGTTCCTGCTTCCTCTGCAGCAAGAGTGAGCCATGGAGCTACGCGTGGGGAACAAGTACCGCCTGGGACGGAAGATTGGGCGGCGGCGGCGGCGGCGGCGGCACCTGGGTGAGTGTTCCTGACTCCAGCTGGAGCCCCGCGGCGGCGGCGGCGGCGGCGGCAGGAAGAAAGACCCCAGGGTTTGGGGCTCTGAAGTTGCGGCGGCGGCGGCGGCGGCGGCTTTGCCCCAGGGCCATTCCAGGTCGGGAAGGAAGCAGCGGCGGCGGCGGCGGCGGCGGCGCCAGGGGGCTCCTCCTGTCACAGGCCAGGCTGGGCGCGGCGGCGGCGGCGGCGGCGGCGTTTCTGCAGGAGTCATGTGGTTCCTCTGTGCCTCAGCGGCGGCGGCGGCGGCGGCGGCCAGCTGGGTGTGGGAAAACCCAGGCGGGGTTCACATGCTTTGCCTTGCTTCCTGGGAGAAGGATACTGGTAGATGAAAGAGATCTGGGTTGCTGCTGGACCCCTAGCCAGGCCCCTCTCTATGTCCTGGTCTCCTGGAACCCAGCCCTGGCAGGGCGGCGGCGGCGGCGGCGGCGGCTGTAACCTTGGGGGCGGGGTGGGGGGGTCTCCTCATGCGGCGGCGGCGGCGGCGGCGGCCCAGATGTGCTTCCTGTTGAAAGTATGAGTTTGCTGGCGGCGGCGGCGGCGGCGGCGGCACTGACCTCTCAGTCCTCCCCTCGGCCTGGGAGAAAGCGGCGGCGGCGGCGGCGGCGGCACTTTTGGGGGGCACGGTCATGAGTCCTGGCCCTTCGCGGCGGCGGCGGCGGCGGCGGCGAAGGTGTTTAGTGTTGGTGATTGTGGATTAGGGGCGCGGCGGCGGCGGCGGCGGCGGCAGGTAGCCAGCCCCTCTAGGATTTATCCTCATTCCTGCGGCGGCGGCGGCGGCGGCGGCTTAGACGCATCTCTGGGCCTTGGTTACCCTCCTTGGGCGGCGGCGGCGGCGGCGGCGGCGTGCAGAGATCACCAAGTCTGTGTGCCGTGTCCATCGCGGCGGCGGCGGCGGCGGCGGCTACCCCATGGTTAGGGTCCCTTGGAGTGTGAAATGTGTTAAGGAAGCCTCAATGGAGACTGGGTCGGAGACTGGGAGTTCCCTGAGCACTTCCTTGCGGCGGCGGCGGCGGCGGCGGCAGAGATAGTACCAGATTCTTTGGCACATCAGGAAACGCGGCGGCGGCGGCGGCGGCGGCTCTCCCAAGACCACTCTAGAAAACTGGCAGAAGCAAGCGGCGGCGGCGGCGGCGGCGGCATGAGTGAGAGCGTGGAAGACAGAACATGCTGAGGGGCGGCGGCGGCGGCGGCGGCGGCGTTCTAGACATGGCTTTGTGTGGCTGTGGGAAGGTCGCGGCGGCGGCGGCGGCGGCGGCGTCTCCATCTGTAAAGTTTGTGATAATTCTGCCTGAGCGGCGGCGGCGGCGGCGGCGGCACAGATGAAATGACAGATGGAAAAGTATTTTGTAAAGCGGCGGCGGCGGCGGCGGCGGCCAGTTCATTGCTGAGTGTTTAGTGGATGACTCTCCCCATGGACACTAGGGAGCTCAGAGGGAGGGAGAGTGTGCGGCGCAGCTGGTTCATAGGTTGCGGCGGCGGCGGCGGCGGCGGCCCAGGGAGGCAGGCGTAGGTAGTATCTGCTAGTGGTCAGCACAGTGGGTGTTGACTGAAGGCTAGTCAAGCAAACCAATGAGAAAATGGGGACTGGCGGCGGCGGCGGCGGCGGCGGCAGCCTCACAGCAGAATAGAAAAAGGCTGGGATGGCCGCGGCGGCGGCGGCGGCGGCGGCATACCAGCACTTTGGGAAACCAAGGCAGACGGATTGCTCGAGTCCAGGAGTTCGAGACCAACCTGGGCAACATGATGAGACCCCATCTCTACAAGGCGGCGGCGGCGGCGGCGGCGGCGTGGTGGCACGTGCATGTAATCCCGGCTACTCGGGAGGCTGAGGTGGGAGAATCACCTGAATCGTGGAGGTTGAGGCTACGGTGAGCTGAGATTGGCGGCGGCGGCGGCGGCGGCGGCGTCAGAGTGAGACCATGTCTCAAAAAAAAGGAGGCCGCGGCGGCGGCGGCGGCGGCGGCATCCCAGCACTTTGGAAGGCCAAGACAGGCAGATCAGCGGCGGCGGCGGCGGCGGCGGCAGCCTGGCCAGCATGGTGAAACCCTGTCTCTACTAAGCGGCGGCGGCGGCGGCGGCGGCGGTGGCACATGCCTGTAGTCCCAGTCTCTGCACTGGGCGGCGGCGGCGGCGGCGGCGGCAGGAGGGTAACCAAGGCACAGAGGTGTGTCTAGCCTGCGGCGGCGGCGGCGGCGGCGGCAATGAGGATAAATCTTAGAGGGGCTGGCTCTGGGACTACAGGAGGCTGAGGCAGAAGAATGGCTTGAACCTGGGAGGCGGAGGATGCAGTGATCTGCGGCGGCGGCGGCGGCGGCGGCCCTGAAAAAGAAGGAAAGAAAAAGGCTGAGATTTGGGCGGCGGCGGCGGCGGCGGCGGCCAGTCTGTTCCTCATTTGTTGTGTGACCTGGAGTAAGTCACTGTATCATGCTGAGCCTCAGTCTTCACATCTGAAATGAGTGTACCCAGCTCCTTGCGGCGGCGGCGGCGGCGGCGGCTAAAGGACCCTCGTATGATTGAAGCTGTTGGGTTCAGCGGCGGCGGCGGCGGCGGCGGCCTGGAGGTCAAAGGGCATGGAGACAGCTCTTGGCACAGCCTTGTTCCTAGACAGTGCCCATCCCAGGTCCCGTCTTGTCTTTTTGCAGACAGGAGGCGGCGGCGGCGGCGGCGGCGGCGGTAGCCCAAGATCACTCAGAAAATCCAGAATCTCGGCGGCGGCGGCGGCGGCGGCGGCAGGACTTCCTGTTTATCTGCATAGTCATCTCATTCAGCGGCGGCGGCGGCGGCGGCGGCACTCTTCTTTGTACTGGCTCTGGAGTAAATTCAGCCGCGGCGGCGGCGGCGGCGGCGGCTTTTATGAGCTGTATGCACTTGGGCAGGTGATGACCTTGTCCATCCTCGGCTTCCCCATCTGCAAAATGGGGTCATGAGAAGTAATGAGGTTGTGGCGGCGGCGGCGGCGGCGGCGGCTGGGCCCAGCAATAGGTGCTGTACGCTGTGCCCCCAGCGGCGGCGGCGGCGGCGGCGGCGTTTTCGAAGGGTCTGGGTCCTCTGGCTCTGAGTCTGCGGCGGCGGCGGCGGCGGCGGCCTCTCTGTGTTCCCTGGTACAAGGGCCTCGGGGGACCCTGCCCCGACTCACCATCCTGCCAGCACCCTCCTGGGCCCCTGTCTTGTTGGTTTGGGGCGGCGGCGGCGGCGGCGGCGGCCCTGGCCAGCCTCACCGGCTCCATTTATTCAATGCTCTGGCCACATTCTTATCCCCAGTGCCGTGCCAGGGCCTGACTCCAGATGGCCTCTGCAGGTGGGGCTGGATGTGTCCTCCAAGCCCTGCTTTCCAGGATCACCTGAGGGCCAGCACACGCGGCGGCGGCGGCGGCGGCGGCTTCCCTTTGCATCATAAGGGGTCAGCCAAGAGAGTGGCGGCGGCGGCGGCGGCGGCGGCCTATTGCCCATCCAGGGTCCAGAGGTGGCCAAATCTGCGGCGGCGGCGGCGGCGGCGGCCCTGGGGAACTCTCTAGACCTCTTAGAGTCTCTGGTGCGGCGGCGGCGGCGGCGGCGGCTGTTCTCCACTGACGGGTGGTTCCAGGGGTGAGAGTGCGGCGGCGGCGGCGGCGGCGGCTCTGATGGGTGGGAACTGAGGTTGTCCCTGCTGCTGGCGGCGGCGGCGGCGGCGGCGGCGGGACAGGTGGGCTTCATCCCCTGTCCTCCAGTCCAGCGGCGGCGGCGGCGGCGGCGGCGTGTCTGTGTAGGTGTCAAGTAGGCCCCCATGTGAGGCGGCGGCGGCGGCGGCGGCGGCGGAACTTGCCAAGTTCCCAGCCCCTCTAGGGCCAGCGCGGCGGCGGCGGCGGCGGCGGCCCAAGTTTGTTTTGGGAACTGGCAGTCCCCCCACTGGCGGCGGCGGCGGCGGCGGCGGCTGTTCCTGAAATCGGGCAGTTCTTCCAGCTTCTAGGGCGGCGGCGGCGGCGGCGGCGGCCATCTATGCTCAGCTGGCTGTCAGACACAGCCTTTGGCGGCGGCGGCGGCGGCGGCGGCGAGTGGAGAAAAAACACAGGGACTTTGGGGACTAAGGCGGCGGCGGCGGCGGCGGCGGCACCAGTTCTGTCAGACCTCAGGCCAGTTACCTAACCTCTCTGAACCTCAGCTTAGTGGTTGTAAGAATTAAGGGAGCTCAGAGAAAAGCCTGGCAGCGGCGGCGGCGGCGGCGGCGGCCACCAAGGAACTCATTGGTGGCAGGACCTGCTGCAGGGGGAGGCAGCTCTGGCAGGTTTCCAGCACTTGCGGGAGTCAGAGGCTTTGCCTAGCAGGCGGCGGCGGCGGCGGCGGCGGCTGTGTGGCATATGATCATTTGACCTTTGGTGTCTGTGCGGCGGCGGCGGCGGCGGCGGCGCAAACAGTAGGCCGGGTGCAGTGGCTCATGCCTGTGCGGCGGCGGCGGCGGCGGCGGCAGGCAGGCGGATCATTTGAGGTCAGGAGTTTGAAACGCGGCGGCGGCGGCGGCGGCGGCCCATCTCTACTAATGATACGAAAATTAGCCAGGCATGGTGGTGTCTGCCTGTAGTCCCAGCTACTCGGGAGGCTGAGGCATGAGAATTGCTTGAAGCGGCGGCGGCGGCGGCGGCGGCAGCTGAGATCATGCCACTGCACTGCAGCCCGGGTGAGCGGCGGCGGCGGCGGCGGCGGCAAAAAAAAAAAAAAAAAGAAATACAAACAGTAGTACGCGGCGGCGGCGGCGGCGGCGGCATGGGAGGAGGGCCCCGTCTACCCACTACCTCCCCGGCGGCGGCGGCGGCGGCGGCGGCCACCTCCCCAGCACCTCTCCTCCCTGCACACATCTGCCGAGTCACCAAGTCCTGCAGGCCCTGCCTCCAAAGTGTCACTCATTCTCTGCACCCTGGCGGCGGCGGCGGCGGCGGCGGCCATGCCTGGTCTCTGTAGTGGCCTTCCCAGGCCTTCGCGGCGGCGGCGGCGGCGGCGGCGCCCTTTCTTATCCACCAGGTAGCCTCAACAGGGTGGCGGCGGCGGCGGCGGCGGCGGCCGTCAAGATCTGGAGAACTTTTGGTTGTTACAATTCGCGGCGGCGGCGGCGGCGGCGGCTCTAGTGGGTAGGAGTCATGGGTGCTGTTAGATGCCCTGCGGTGCCCAGGGCAGCCCCACAGCCAGGAGTTCTCCAGCTCCAGCGTCAGGAGTGCCAAGGCTGAGAGATCCTGTGATCACACACCTGAACATGGCCCTTGGTGCCTCGGGCTGAAGGCCAGGATCTTAGCCGGCCATTCAAGACCAGATCTCTCCCCTGCCCACCTCTTCCACGCGGCGGCGGCGGCGGCGGCGGCTTCCCGCTGCACCCGCTCCTATTGGACCTCTGCCTGTGCCGTGACCTCTCTTGTCTGTCCAGTACAGTCCTGTTTGGGAGCCAGGAGCCCTTGCAGCCTGCCTTCCCGGAGGCTCTCCTTTCCTCCATAGCGTGACTTACTCCCTCTTCCCCTCCTCCCACTGGCTGGACACCGGCTCATCTCTAGCCTAGGGGCTGTACTTCCCAGCAAGCCGGACATCGTAGAGCATTGACTGTGTGTCAGGCACTCTCCTAAGCATGTTTGTCCCTCAGGCGGCGGCGGCGGCGGCGGCGGCGTCATTGGTTTACACCTGAGGTGCCTGGGGCTCTGAGGGGTCAAGTGCCTTGTCTGAGGACCCCGGCCAGGGGATATCCGAGTCAGGATTTGGGCGCGGCGGCGGCGGCGGCGGCGGCCACACTTTAACCGCTACACTCTCCTGCCTCTCTGCTGCGGCGGCGGCGGCGGCGGCGGCGGGAACTCTTAAGGAGCCGAGCGCCCCTCCCGTGCCGCGGCGGCGGCGGCGGCGGCGGCCCTGTGTGGCTCATCCCAGTGATGAGCATTGATGTAGCGGCGGCGGCGGCGGCGGCGGCAAGTACTTTCTTTCCTATTGCTGGCTAGATTGAGTTGCGGCGGCGGCGGCGGCGGCGGCTTTATTAAAAATCCAAATACAGACACAAAACTAAAAGCGGCGGCGGCGGCGGCGGCGGCGTGAAAGAAGCCAGTCACAAAAAATCACATGTATGAGCGGCGGCGGCGGCGGCGGCGGCAAATGTCCAGAAAAGACAAATCCATAGAGACAGAATGTAGATTAGTTGGGGGGCAGGGGATGGAGCGAGGAGATAGGGCCTGACCCCACTAAAGGGCGGCGGCGGCGGCGGCGGCGGCAAAATACAGCCCTCCTGGGCCAGGCACGATGGCTCAGCGGCGGCGGCGGCGGCGGCGGCGAGGCTGAGGCAGGTGAATCACTTGAGCCCAGGAGTTGGAGACCAGCCTAGGCAAGATGGCAAACCCTGTCTCTACAAAAAATATAAAAATTAGCCGGGTGTGGTGGCTGGCACCTGTAGTGCCAGCTACTTGGGAGGCTGAAGTGGTAGGCTCGCGGCGGCGGCGGCGGCGGCGGCTGCAGTGAGCTGTGTTAGTGCCACTGCAGTCCAGCCGCGGCGGCGGCGGCGGCGGCGGCCTCAAAAAGAAAATACAGCCCCCCACCCTCGGTACCGCGGCGGCGGCGGCGGCGGCGGCCCCTCAGATACCAAAATCCTCTGATTCTCAAGTTCCTAATATAAAAAACTAGAGTATTTGTGTATAACCTATCCGCATCCTCTATATACTTTGTTGCGGCGGCGGCGGCGGCGGCGGCGTCGCCAGGCTGGAGTGCAGTTGTGTGATCTCGGCTGCGGCGGCGGCGGCGGCGGCGGCTTCAAGAGATTCTCCTGCCTCAGCCTCCTAAATAGCGCGGCGGCGGCGGCGGCGGCGGCACGACTGGCTAATTTTTGTGTTTTTAGTAGAGATGGGCGGCGGCGGCGGCGGCGGCGGCGGTCTGGAACTCCTTACCTCGTGATCCGCCTGCCTGGCGGCGGCGGCGGCGGCGGCGGCAGGCGTGAGCCACCGCACCCGGCCTTTTCCATATACGCGGCGGCGGCGGCGGCGGCGGCATAATACTTGATACGATGTAAATGCTATGTAAATAGGCGGCGGCGGCGGCGGCGGCGGCTTATATTATTTACCTATTTACTTTTGAGACATGGTCGCGGCGGCGGCGGCGGCGGCGGCTGTGGTGGCGTGATCATAGCTCACCGCAGCCTTGACTTCCTAGGCTCAAACAGTCCTCCTGCCTCAGCCTCCCAGGTAGCTGGGACCACAGGCACGTGCTACCATGCCTGGCTAACTTTTGTATTGTTTGTAGAGATAGGGTCTCACTATGTTGCTTAGGCTGGTCTCGAACTGCTGAACTCAAGTAATCCTCCTCAGCCTCCCAAAGTGCTAGCGGCGGCGGCGGCGGCGGCGGCACCCAACCTATTTCTTTTTTTTTTTTTTTGAGACGGGCGGCGGCGGCGGCGGCGGCGGCGGAGTGCAGTGGTGCGATCTCAGCTCACTGCAAGCTGCGGCGGCGGCGGCGGCGGCGGCCTCCTGCCTCAGCCTCCCGAGTGGCTGGGACTACAGGCGGCGGCGGCGGCGGCGGCGGCATTTTTTGTACTTTTAGTAGAGACGGGGTTTCACCAGCGGCGGCGGCGGCGGCGGCGGCTCCTGACCTTGTGATCCACCCACCTCGGCCTCCCAAAGTGCTGGGATTATAGGCGTGAGCCACCGCACCCGGCCCAACCTATTTCTTATTGTTGTATTGTTATTTTTTTCCCCACGTATTTTTGATCTATGGTTGAATCGGCAGATGCAGAACCGCGGCGGCGGCGGCGGCGGCGGCGCTGGTTGTGTTCTAAAATTGATTGTGGTAATGGCTGCGGCGGCGGCGGCGGCGGCGGCAAACAGTGAGTCGCACACTTTGAGTGAGTCAATTGAGCGGCGGCGGCGGCGGCGGCGGCATAAAGGTGTTGAAAGAAATTGCAACTTATAACACAGCGGCGGCGGCGGCGGCGGCGGCTCTTCCTCCCTGACCCACTTTGCCCTGTACAGTCATGCGGCGGCGGCGGCGGCGGCGGCGTAGCTAGAGCCAAACACAGATACTTAGTTCCCCACGCGGCGGCGGCGGCGGCGGCGGCGAGCGTGGAATATACACTGTTCTGTGCTTTGCTTTTTCACTTCCTGTATCTTGGAGATCTTTCCACTTCTGTGCAGAGAGAGCTTCCTCATTCTTGCGGCGGCGGCGGCGGCGGCGGCGATGGGTTATTCTTTATTTAATCAGCACCCGCCCCCGCGGCGGCGGCGGCGGCGGCGGCTTGGGTTGTTTCCAAGCTTCTGCTGTTACAAACAGCGCGGCGGCGGCGGCGGCGGCGGCGCCTTGTTTTGCACCATGCTAGGATGTCGGGTAAACGCGGCGGCGGCGGCGGCGGCGGCAGGGCTGAGTGGTGTCAAATCCCCCTCCAGTGGCGACTCAGCAGTTCACGCCTGGAACACCTGAGAGGAGTGCTCAACCACCCCACAGTCTTGCTGCGGCGGCGGCGGCGGCGGCGGCGAGACTTTTGACAATCCTAGGTGAAACATGGTCTTTGCGGCGGCGGCGGCGGCGGCGGCCTCTTACAAGGAGGTTGGGCATCTTTCCCTATGAGTAAGGCTTTTCTATTAATGATTTCTTTCTCTGTGAAGTGTGTGTTCAAATTCTTTGGCCTGCGGCGGCGGCGGCGGCGGCGGCACTGCTTTGTAGGAGCTCATTACATATTAGCTCTTCGCGGCGGCGGCGGCGGCGGCGGCAGTATGTTTCTTACGACTTTATTTCTGGTGTTTTTGGCGGCGGCGGCGGCGGCGGCGGCCTTTTTTTGGAGAGGAAGGAGCTTTTTTTTTCTTTTGCGGCGGCGGCGGCGGCGGCGGCTTTTTAAATGGCTTCAGGATTTTGAATCAGGGATAAGCGGCGGCGGCGGCGGCGGCGGCAAGGCTATAAGGCAATTCTCCCTTCTTCTAACATTTCATAGTTATTTCCTATTAAACGTTGAGTGGATACAAAGAATACATATAGAACACCTGCAGCGGCGGCGGCGGCGGCGGCGGCGAGCCACCGTCTGACATTTCATCTTTTCCTTTCTTTGCGGCGGCGGCGGCGGCGGCGGCGTTGCCTGCTTTGATATGGAAACAAGTAGAGCTGTGGCGGCGGCGGCGGCGGCGGCGGCTTTTTTTTTGTTGAGACGGAGTCTTGCTCTGTCGCCGCGGCGGCGGCGGCGGCGGCGGCATCCCGGCTCACTGCAAGCTCCGCCTCCCGGATTCGGCGGCGGCGGCGGCGGCGGCGGCCGGAGTAACTGGGGCTACAGGTGCCCGCCACCATACGCGGCGGCGGCGGCGGCGGCGGCGTAGAGACGGGGTTTCACTGTGTTAGCCAGGATGGTGCGGCGGCGGCGGCGGCGGCGGCCGTCCGCCTCGGCCTCCTGAAGTGCTGGGATTACAGGCGGCGGCGGCGGCGGCGGCGGCCGGGTAGAATGTTTTCAAGGTGCACTTGTGTCATAGGCGGCGGCGGCGGCGGCGGCGGCTTTATTGCTGAATAACATTCCACCGCGTGGAGTCACGCGGCGGCGGCGGCGGCGGCGGCTGTGACAGATGTTCGTTGTTTCCACCCTCTGGCTGCTGTGAGGAGTGCACCCTTGGGACTGGGGTCCTTGTGTGAAGCAGGCATCCTTTCCTCTTCACTGCTGCCTGGGATTCCCGGGTGCCTGCACCACTGTTCCCATTCTTCTGCTGCGAGGCACTTGGGCTGTTTGTTCCTGTGTCCATCCTTGTCCTGTCCCCCTGGTGCACACATGTTGCGGCGGCGGCGGCGGCGGCGGCTGGGGTTGCTTGGGCGAGCGTTTGTTTATGTTCAGCGCGGCGGCGGCGGCGGCGGCGGCCTGTGCCAACTCACACCCCCACCTTTATTTCTTACAGCGGCGGCGGCGGCGGCGGCGGCATTTCCCCTGGTTGTGGTGTGAGCCATGGTGTCTTTGCGGCGGCGGCGGCGGCGGCGGCCCAGGGGCATTATTACTGAATAGTCTCATCTTTTCCGCGGCGGCGGCGGCGGCGGCGGCTCCTGTCTTGAACTCCTCCTGGAGCTGTGTCCCTGGGCGGCGGCGGCGGCGGCGGCGGCGCAACAGTGTCCTACTCCTGCTACTGGGCTCCCTGCGCGGCGGCGGCGGCGGCGGCGGCGTCACCCAGCCTAGTCCCGGCCCTACATCTCATCCAGCGGCGGCGGCGGCGGCGGCGGCGGCAAGGTACACTTTGGGTTTGGTCTTTCTTGTGACGCGGCGGCGGCGGCGGCGGCGGCAGGCAGAGAGCGGGACCTTAGTGTGTGTGAGGGTATGCGGCGGCGGCGGCGGCGGCGGCCAGGAGTGTACTGGGGGAGAGGCGGAGGTGCAGGCAGCGGCGGCGGCGGCGGCGGCGGCCCAGCAGAGCCAGGGTTGACGCTCAAGGCCGCCATTTACAGGTCATGTGACCCTGAGCTGGGTCTCAGTTTTCTCATCTCTACAACTAGGGAGTGGCGGCGGCGGCGGCGGCGGCGGCAGAATGTGCAGGGCTGCCTCTGAAGGCACCAGCGTTGCGGCGGCGGCGGCGGCGGCGGCCCCGTCTTCATTCTGCAGGCCAGGGTGGTCTTGGCTGCGGCGGCGGCGGCGGCGGCGGCATCCCCATTGGGCCCCTTCTCTACACGTGCCACCACGCGGCGGCGGCGGCGGCGGCGGCCCGAATTAGCTCCAGGACTCAGTCCCCTCCCTTAGGGCGGCGGCGGCGGCGGCGGCGGCCTGCCCCTTGCCCCACTCACATCGGGCCTCCTTGTTGCGGCGGCGGCGGCGGCGGCGGCGCTTTTGTGTGTCACCTCTGTCCCTCGCAGCGCTGACCTTCTTTCCCCGCAGGAAACCTTTGCCTGGGCTCCTTTGCCCACTTCCCAGCCTCCCCGCGGCGGCGGCGGCGGCGGCGGCACCCCGGGCCCAGCGCACGCCAGATCTCAGAAATGCGCGGCGGCGGCGGCGGCGGCGGCTGGCCTTTGAGGGTGACCCTGGTCCCTTGCCTCCCCGCGGCGGCGGCGGCGGCGGCGGCCCTCTGGTGAGGAAGTCGCCATCAAGCTGGAGTGTGGCGGCGGCGGCGGCGGCGGCGGCCACATTGAGAGCAAGTTCTACAAGATGATGCAGGGCGCGGCGGCGGCGGCGGCGGCGGCTAGCGGGCGCCGGGTGGAGGTGGGTGGCCATGAGTGGCGGCGGCGGCGGCGGCGGCGGCCTGCCTCTGACGCCTGACAGAGGCCCTCCGCTTGACGCGGCGGCGGCGGCGGCGGCGGCAAGTGGTGCGGAGCTGAGGGCGACTACAACGTGATGGTCATGGAGCTGCTGGGGCCCAGCCTCGAGGACCTGTTCAACTTCTGTTCCCGCAAGTTGCGGCGGCGGCGGCGGCGGCGGCTGGCCGACCAGATGGTGAGTCCCCGTCCCCTCCATCGCGGCGGCGGCGGCGGCGGCGGCAGGATACCAGCCCTGCCTCCTGCCCCCAGAGGATGCGCGGCGGCGGCGGCGGCGGCGGCGACCTTGGCCACTGGCTATAGAATTCTAGGTGTTTAGCGGCGGCGGCGGCGGCGGCGGCCAGAGTCTCACTGTGTTGCCCAGGCTGGAGCGCAGTGCGGCGGCGGCGGCGGCGGCGGCCATCCGCTTCCCAGGTTCGAGCAATTCTCCTGCTTCGCGGCGGCGGCGGCGGCGGCGGCTAGGCCTTGCCACCATGCTGGGCTAATTTTTATATTGCGGCGGCGGCGGCGGCGGCGGCAAGTGATCCACCCATCTTGGCCTCCCCAAGTGCTGGGCGGCGGCGGCGGCGGCGGCGGCCCCAGCCAAGGTGTTTATTTAAAATGTGGATTTCAGGCGGCGGCGGCGGCGGCGGCGGCCAGGTTCCTGGGGTAGGGCCTGGGACTCTGCCTGGGGCGGCGGCGGCGGCGGCGGCGGCAAATATTGTTTAATTATAAGAAATAGAGATGGGAGTGCGGCGGCGGCGGCGGCGGCGGCCTCAAACTCCTGGCCTCGAGCAGTCTTCCCATCTTGGCGGCGGCGGCGGCGGCGGCGGCGGGATTACAGGCATGATCACCGCGTCTGGTCTGCCCGCGGCGGCGGCGGCGGCGGCGGCTCGGTCACACAGACCTGGGTCCTGTTCCAGACCAGTGACTGTAGGTGAACGCCGCACCCCTCTGAGCCACAGTGGCCTCATGCGAGAGTCTCTCGGCGGCGGCGGCGGCGGCGGCGGCAGTGGATTAGGTGAGATGCCATTCAGCGCTTTGCCAGCGGCGGCGGCGGCGGCGGCGGCTTAAGTACCAAGCCCTTCATCAGCATAGGGAGGAAAGCGGCGGCGGCGGCGGCGGCGGCAGAATTTTGAACTTGGAATGGAACATGAAGATCTTGGCGGCGGCGGCGGCGGCGGCGGCGCATTAAGTCCTGCGACGTAGGCTGAAGGTGTGTGAGCGGCGGCGGCGGCGGCGGCGGCGTGGTGTGAAACCCAAGAAAGGTGCAGGAGATGTTGAGCTGTGCTGAACCTGGGACCAGAGCCAGAAGCCATGGCATGTGCATGGATATTACTTTGAGTTTTAAAAACTCGCCTGAGAAGGTGGCTCAAGTCTGTAATCCCAGCACTTCGGGAGGCCGAAGCGGGCGGCTCACCTGAGGTCAGGAGTTTGAGACCAGTCTGACCATCATGGTGGCGGCGGCGGCGGCGGCGGCGGCCAAAAAATTAGCTGGGCGTGGTGGTGCGCGCCTATAGCGGCGGCGGCGGCGGCGGCGGCGGCAGGAGAATCACTTGAATCTTGGAGGCAGAGGTTGCGGCGGCGGCGGCGGCGGCGGCTGCATTCCAGCCTGTGCAACAGACCGAGACTCCATCGCGGCGGCGGCGGCGGCGGCGGCAAAGAAAAGAGGGCCATGTGCCTGTCTGAGTTTGGCATCCTTCGGAAGCCCTGTCTTTTGTGCTCTGCCTCTGTCACCTCTGCCTGGTTTAGGCTGCGGCGGCGGCGGCGGCGGCGGCTCCCCCACATCTGTTGCCTCTCTGGCTCCCTGAGTCCTGTGAGTGTGGGGCCGGGCAGGCAAGCCTTCCATGGGGAACCGGTTGCCTTTCTAGCAGCGGCGGCGGCGGCGGCGGCGGCTTCCTGCAGTACTCTCTTTGTCTCACAACCAGCTTGGCGGCGGCGGCGGCGGCGGCGGCTCCTGATGTCACATTTTCCAGGAGGCCTTCTCTGGCGCGGCGGCGGCGGCGGCGGCGGCGTCGAAGGCAGACCTTTCTCCCTTCCCAGGGCAGGGACCATGTGTGCGTTTTCTACCTCTGTGGCCCCAGCCCCTGCCTGGCCCAGAGCACTGGGGCGGCGGCGGCGGCGGCGGCGGCTGGCCCCCTCCTCCCCAGATCAGCCGCATCGAGTATGCGGCGGCGGCGGCGGCGGCGGCCCGGGACGTCAAGCCCGACAACTTCCTCATGGGGCTGCGGCGGCGGCGGCGGCGGCGGCACATCATCGACTTCGGCCTGGCCAAGAAGTACCGGGACGCCCGCACCCACCAGCACATTCCCTACCGGGAAAACAAGAACCTGACCGGCACAGCTCGCTACGCTTCCATCAACACGCACCTGGGCATTGGTGAGAGAGCCAGGCCTGGAGGAGTGCGGCGGCGGCGGCGGCGGCGGCGGCCTGGCTCTCTGGAGCCCTCTCACCCTCTACCTTGCGGCGGCGGCGGCGGCGGCGGCCTAGTGAGAAAGTCCCCACCCCATCTGCCCCCAGGCGCGGCGGCGGCGGCGGCGGCGGCACAATCGGGTCTTCCCCTTTGTAAGCCAAGCTGGCCGCGGCGGCGGCGGCGGCGGCGGCGTGCAGGCTGGGAAATACAGGCTCAGAGGTTTAACAGCGGCGGCGGCGGCGGCGGCGGCTTAGCGAATGCCAAAGCTGGATTTGACCCCAGCCCTGTCTGATGCTGAAGCTTGTGACCTCTCCACGGAGTGGGCCAGGCAAGGGGGCAGTAGGTGCGGCGGCGGCGGCGGCGGCGGCTTAAGTGCCTGAGCTGGAAAAACTAGGCCCAAATTAGCGGCGGCGGCGGCGGCGGCGGCCTTCTTCTCTGTAGGAGGAAGATAATAGCAGTGCCTGCGGCGGCGGCGGCGGCGGCGGCATCTGATGGGGGGAGCAGGAGGGTCCTGGTTTGCATGCGGCGGCGGCGGCGGCGGCGGCTGACTTAGGGGCCTGAGTGAACCCCTGCCCCTCACCGCGGCGGCGGCGGCGGCGGCGGCGCAAAGCCGTCGAGATGACCTGGAGAGCCTGGGCTACGTGCTCATGTACTTCAACCTGGGCTCCCTGCCCTGGCAGGGACTCAAAGCAGCCACCAGCGGCGGCGGCGGCGGCGGCGGCAGTGAGAAGAAGATGTCAACACCCATTGAGGTCCTCGCGGCGGCGGCGGCGGCGGCGGCGCCCAGTGGGAGGGGACATGCCTGGGGGTCCCTGAGGCGGCGGCGGCGGCGGCGGCGGCGCCATACAAAGCCCACACTAGGGCCAGGCGCAGTGGCTCATGCCTGCAATCCCAGCACTTTGGGAGGCTGAGGCAGGCAGATCACGAGGTCAGGAGCGGCGGCGGCGGCGGCGGCGGCTGGTGAAATCCCGTCTCTACTAAAAATACAAAAATTGCGGCGGCGGCGGCGGCGGCGGCCTCAGGAGGCTGAGGAAGGAGAATTGCCTGAACCTGGCGGCGGCGGCGGCGGCGGCGGCGAGATTGCTCCATTGCACTCCAGCCTGGATGATAGTGCGGCGGCGGCGGCGGCGGCGGCACAACAACAACAACAACAACAAAGCCCATACTGGGCGCGGCGGCGGCGGCGGCGGCGGCAGCAGTAACCCCTGGCTCTTTGCCACCCCTTGGCACGCGGCGGCGGCGGCGGCGGCGGCGCCTGGCTGTTACACCTGTTGCTCCCCAGCCCACATGCGGCGGCGGCGGCGGCGGCGGCCTGTCCCCAGTTTTTTGAGGAGGAAATGGAAGTTTTGCGGCGGCGGCGGCGGCGGCGGCGGAAGGTCCGTCAGGCTCTTGAGTCCTTTGAGTTTAGCGGCGGCGGCGGCGGCGGCGGCCCCGGGTGCTTGGTGAGGGCAGTGGAAGAGCTGTGGGCGGCGGCGGCGGCGGCGGCGGCCTGGCAGAAGCTCCTGGCCACAGTTCACAGGTCTTCGCGGCGGCGGCGGCGGCGGCGGCCTCTGCTCACAGGCAGGCCAGGGAAGGCCGTGGTTCTGTTGCCTCCTTTTCTTGCCTCTCTTAGATTGGAAGTATCTGTGGGGCAGTGGGTGGCTGCGGCGGCGGCGGCGGCGGCGGCTCTGGGAGCGTGGGGCTCACGGTTGCCTTCTCTGTTGCGGCGGCGGCGGCGGCGGCGGCATTCTCAACATACCTCAACTTCTGCCGCTCCCTGCGGCGGCGGCGGCGGCGGCGGCGGCCTTACCTACGTCAGCTCTTCCGCAACCTCTTCCACCGCGGCGGCGGCGGCGGCGGCGGCGTCTTCGACTGGAACATGCTGAAATTCGTGAGTCACGCGGCGGCGGCGGCGGCGGCGGCGGACTGGATGGGGAAGGCCCTGACTCGGAGGGCCAGGCGGCGGCGGCGGCGGCGGCGGCTCCCGACAGACGGGAGGTATGAGCTGGACAGTGTGGGCGGCGGCGGCGGCGGCGGCGGCCCCTCCTGCCTCATCCGTGCTGACAGCTTGTGCCGGGCGGCGGCGGCGGCGGCGGCGGCGGCGCTGCCTCCTGCTGGAACAAGAAGGACCTGGCTGCGGCGGCGGCGGCGGCGGCGGCCCCGCGGCAGGGCGTGGGTCGTGCTGGTGGTGTACCCCGCCGCCCTGATCGCTGCCTACACCGTCCTGCTCCTATTCTGCACATCCCAGGCGGCTGCGGCGGCGGCGGCGGCGGCGGCCAGCCTGGACCCAGTCATGGTGCTTGCTTTCTTCTTGCGGCGGCGGCGGCGGCGGCGGCTAGGCAGTTCTGTTTCTCTCTTTTAAGAGTCCCGGGGCGGCGGCGGCGGCGGCGGCGGCATTGGTCGGCCGTGCCCAGGGCTCTGGAATCTGTGAGCGGCGGCGGCGGCGGCGGCGGCTCTTCTGGAAAAGGGGGCTTCCTCTAGCCAGGCTCAGCGGCGGCGGCGGCGGCGGCGGCCGAAGGGACCGTTCTGTCCCCGCCCTTGTCCCTGTGCCAGGCCCACGTACTCACCCACCTACTGGTAAGGATCCTCTGAGGCCTGGCTTTTCCAAGCGGCGGCGGCGGCGGCGGCGGCGCAAGAGGCTGAGCCTCAGCTGTGCTCTTTTTGTCCGCGGCGGCGGCGGCGGCGGCGGCGGCACCCAGAGCCCCCCAGATAGGCCCATGGAGGAGGCGGCGGCGGCGGCGGCGGCGGCCCAAAACTACTGGCCTGTGGTCTGGGCTCCAGGGCCGCGGCGGCGGCGGCGGCGGCGGCGCCTGAGCCCATCGGGGCCAGGCCTGAGGAAGTGTTGCGGCGGCGGCGGCGGCGGCGGCGTTCCCAAGAGATAGCAACACAGTGGAGGGCGTGGTGCGGCGGCGGCGGCGGCGGCGGCCTAGGGAAGTAGCCAGCCACCTGAGGGCCAGGACAGGCGGCGGCGGCGGCGGCGGCGGCTGCCCACAAGGGGCCTGGTGGGAACGGGTCCCAGGACAGACTCACGGCCAGACCCCGTCAGCGGCCTCTGTTGAACTTGAACTCATTAAACACCTGCGGCGGCGGCGGCGGCGGCGGCCTCTTTCATGGCAGGGTCTTCAGCCGCTCTGCTAGAGCGGCGGCGGCGGCGGCGGCGGCTGGAAGGCAAGGTCAGCACGTTGGTCGGCTTTTCTTGCGGCGGCGGCGGCGGCGGCGGCAGGAGTGAGACAGAGGTCAGGCAGAGAGGGAGAGGCGCGGCGGCGGCGGCGGCGGCGGCCTGGAAATGGGATATGGGCAGGGGGCATCGTCTCTGGCGGCGGCGGCGGCGGCGGCGGCCCAAATGGGGCCCATGGCCTTGAGCACCTGGGACCAGCGGCGGCGGCGGCGGCGGCGGCGGCACTGGGCACTTTCTCATCAAGATAGTCACTCCCGCGGCGGCGGCGGCGGCGGCGGCGCCCTCCAGCTCAGCACAACTCCAAAAATGGATTTTGTATTCTCTAGACTGACACTGTCCAGGATGGTAGCCACTGGCTATATGCGACACGTTTTGCGGCGGCGGCGGCGGCGGCGGCCTGGAAATGTCAGCCAGGCATGATGGCTCATGCCTGGCGGCGGCGGCGGCGGCGGCGGCAAAGAGGGCGGATCACTTGAGGTCAGGAGTTTAAGAGCGGCGGCGGCGGCGGCGGCGGCCCCATTTCTACTAAAAACAAAAAATTAGCTGGACATGGTGGTGTGTTCCTGTAATCCCAGCTACTGGAGAGGCTGAGGCAGGAGAATCGCTTGAAGCGGCGGCGGCGGCGGCGGCGGCAGCTGAGATCACGCCCCTGCACTCCAGTGGCCACCAGCGGCGGCGGCGGCGGCGGCGGCATTTCCTTCATCCAGAACGTTCTGCGGACGTCACTGCTCTAGGTGCCTCCCTTACGGAGTCTTGCAAGACTGTCTAGCCAGCAAGATCTCTTCTCGCGGCGGCGGCGGCGGCGGCGGCCATCCACTGCTGCTGCTCTGACCGCCTTCCTGGAGTGCGGCGGCGGCGGCGGCGGCGGCTTAGAAGCTGGGCAGAGGTGCCCACAGCCTTATCCTGCGGCGGCGGCGGCGGCGGCGGCACGGCCACCGTAGTGAGCTGAACCACTTCCAGCAGTGCGGCGGCGGCGGCGGCGGCGGCACATGCAATGGGAACTTTCACCCTGAGGCTGGGCCCGCGGCGGCGGCGGCGGCGGCGGCACAGGACAGCCTGTGGTGTTCTGCACCGGGGTGCTGGCGGCGGCGGCGGCGGCGGCGGCGGAAGCCACTCGCAGCACATACAGCCACTGTGTTCCGCGGCGGCGGCGGCGGCGGCGGCAGGAATTCAACACAGCCAAGGACAGAGGTCCATATGGCGGCGGCGGCGGCGGCGGCGGCCTTTGCTGATCTTTTGCATTTTCTGTGGGCAATAAAGCGGCGGCGGCGGCGGCGGCGGCTGTTTCTTGCGTCCTGCGGGATGGATGGGACCATGGGCGGCGGCGGCGGCGGCGGCGGCGGGCTGGCAATGGCCTGAGCCTTTTGGGCTCACAAAGGGCAGGGGCTCCAGCGCTCCTCTTGGCTGCTGGCTGCAGGGCTCCACACCGTGGAGTGGCGGCGGCGGCGGCGGCGGCGGCGCCGTGGAAATGAGATTGACCTGCCTTGCAGGGTTGGCGGCGGCGGCGGCGGCGGCGGCTCAGCACGGAGATGCCACAGCTCGTGTTCCTCCCCAGGCTTTGCTGGGGCTCTGGCTGAGTCACTGTTTCCCAGCCTGCAACTGAATGGGAGCCCGCGGCGGCGGCGGCGGCGGCGGCGTTAGAGCCTTGGTGGTCCCAGGCCTGCCTGAGAGGGCGGCGGCGGCGGCGGCGGCGGCATGCGTCTTCTAGAGTGTTCTAAGGCAAGGCTCTGAGCGGCGGCGGCGGCGGCGGCGGCGAGCAGAGTGGGACTAGGTGGCAAAGGCCTGGGTTCGCGGCGGCGGCGGCGGCGGCGGCGTGCGACCCCAGGCAGGTCACAAGGCCTCTCTGGGCGCGGCGGCGGCGGCGGCGGCGGCGGATCATTCTGGTCTTAGCCGCTACTTCTTGGAGTTGCGGCGGCGGCGGCGGCGGCGGCACCTCTTGGCTAGTCTCCTGGGAGAGACATGGGTTGGCGGCGGCGGCGGCGGCGGCGGCTGAGCAGGCCCCCCACTCAGCCCGCAGCTCTCTCCTCCACAGATGCGGCCCCCTTCCTGCCAGCCCCCTGCCCTTCCCTGCGGACGGCCCCGGGAGCGGCGGCGGCGGCGGCGGCGGCGCTGCCCCCACACACGCTCTTCTCTGGCCCCTTCTCGCGGCGGCGGCGGCGGCGGCGGCAGTGGCTATAGAGCCGGCACCTGGGGGCTTAGGGCAGCGGCGGCGGCGGCGGCGGCGGCGCTGGGCCTCTTCTTCCTCCATGGGGCACATGGCCCGCGGCGGCGGCGGCGGCGGCGGCGAGCGCCCATCCCAAGGCAGGCGGTGTGTGTGTGGGTTCCCTGGGCCTCCTGGCTGTGGCCTCCACGGCACCTGCCAGAAGCCATTGCCAGGTCCGCGGCGGCGGCGGCGGCGGCGGCGGTGCAAAGAGCCCCTGGCTGCGTACCAGGAGACCTGGTCTGAGTCCTGGCCCACTTCCACTAGTTTTGTGACTCTGGGCCTGTCCTTTTCCCACGCGGCGGCGGCGGCGGCGGCGGCCTAGAGGCCTCTAAACAGCTTCCCTACCCGATTTGGGCGGCGGCGGCGGCGGCGGCGGCTTGGTACACCGAGGGGGGCCAGGGCAGGCCCAGCCCGCGGCGGCGGCGGCGGCGGCGGCCTCTTGATCATCCTGGGGGCATTAGTTGTCCTGGCTCTGGCTCCATCCCGGGACAGCAGGGCAGACTGACCTCCCTCTGCCCCCAGACTCCTGCTGCGGCGGCGGCGGCGGCGGCGGCTGGCTTCGTGTCTCTGTGCTGTGTGATTGGGGGTCAGCGGCGGCGGCGGCGGCGGCGGCGGCTGGAGCGGAGGGTTTCTGAGATACCTACCCGGCGCGGCGGCGGCGGCGGCGGCGGCAGGGCTGCTGGGCCCAGAACACCCTGGCCTCTGGGGGCGGCGGCGGCGGCGGCGGCGGCCCCTGCAGGGTGCAGCCCGGAACCCCGAGGACGTGGGCGGCGGCGGCGGCGGCGGCGGCCGCGAGGAGAGGATGGGGCAGCTACGGGGGTCCGCGGCGGCGGCGGCGGCGGCGGCGGCACCCACGGGGGCCACTGCCAACCGGCTCCGCAGTGCGCGGCGGCGGCGGCGGCGGCGGCCAGCCTCCCGCATCCAGCCAGCTGGTGAGCAGGGACGCGGCGGCGGCGGCGGCGGCGGCGTGGGTGGGGGGCTCTGTGCCCACTCTGAGGGTGGCTCTCCACGCCTCTTTCTCCAGGCAATACTTCTCCCAGAGCGATCTCACGGGTCGACCGGGCGGCGGCGGCGGCGGCGGCGGCGCACAGGGGCGCGCCCGCCAACGTCTCCTCCTCAGAGCGGCGGCGGCGGCGGCGGCGGCCCCGGATCCCAGCCTCACAGGTGAGCTGCCCCCCTGCCAGTCCCTCTGGGCCTCACAACTGAGCTAGAGACCCCCCAGGGTGAGGTCAGGCCTCGGCGGCGGCGGCGGCGGCGGCGGCATGCTGCTTGCCTCAGAGTGAACCCCTTCTGTTGAGGCGGCGGCGGCGGCGGCGGCGGCCTCTGAGGTCTAATGAGCCCTCTTGAGCAAAGTCATGCGGCGGCGGCGGCGGCGGCGGCATTCCCTGACAAGTGCCACGGCTGGGCTCCAGCCTTGCGGCGGCGGCGGCGGCGGCGGCTGGGCAGCAGGGGCTCAGAGATGAGGCGTTCCTGCTGCGGCGGCGGCGGCGGCGGCGGCGAACCCCCGTGAGCATTGGCAAGAGCATGGGGTGTAGCGGCGGCGGCGGCGGCGGCGGCTTGGGGCCATGTTTGGATGGGGACACTTGGGAAGGGGGAATCTGTAGTTGCCCAGGGAAGGTGTCCTGGCAGAGGTGGATGGGAGCCCTGCCCTTGCGGCGGCGGCGGCGGCGGCGGCGGGAGTCCTGCGAGAGAACCCTCCTTGGCCATTTACGCGGCGGCGGCGGCGGCGGCGGCGGGCAATGTTCTTACCTACAGACAGGGACATCTTAGGCGGCGGCGGCGGCGGCGGCGGCTCCCTCGGCTTGAGGGGCTGCATGTAGGTGGGGGTGGGGGTAGAACTCCTCAGCGGGGAGAGACTTGCCAAATCTCCATCGCCAGCAGCTGAGGGGCGGCGGCGGCGGCGGCGGCGGCCCTCTCTCTCCCTTTCCTCCCTCAAAAGACAAGTGTGCGGCGGCGGCGGCGGCGGCGGCGAGGAGAGCCCCCATTGGACCAGTGTTTGCTTAGGTGAGTCCATGACTGCTGCAGATGCAACCAGCCCAGCCGGCCTAGAAGCTCCCAGGCCCCAGCGGCGGCGGCGGCGGCGGCGGCGGGTGGGTGGCAGTGGCAGTGGCAGATGGTACCAGGGCGGCGGCGGCGGCGGCGGCGGCCAAGGAATTTAAAACCTTGGAGCCTGCCTGGCTCAGGCGGCGGCGGCGGCGGCGGCGGCCCTGACCCCGCATGAATTAATTTCTGCTGGAAAAACGCGGCGGCGGCGGCGGCGGCGGCCTGTCTCCTTCTGCCTTAACATATTCTGGAGGCCGGGCACGGTGGCTCATGCCTGTAATCCCAGCACTTTGGAAGGCCGAGGCGGGCGGATCACAGCGGCGGCGGCGGCGGCGGCGGCTGGCCAACACCCTGTCTCTACTAAAAAAAAACCAAAGCGGCGGCGGCGGCGGCGGCGGCCAGGTGTGGTGGCGGGCGTGTGTAGTCCCAGCTACTGCGGCGGCGGCGGCGGCGGCGGCGCATGAACCCGGGAGGCGGAGCTTGCAGCGAGCTGAGATTGCACCACTGCACTCTAGCCTGGGCGACAGAGCGAGACTCTGTCTCAACAAAAAAAAAAAAAGAAAAAGGAAAAAGAAAAAAACGTTCTGGAAGGTTGGTTCCCAGCAGAGATGGGGCCACGGGCTCACACTCTGACCTCTCCCACGGCATTAGCCCTGTCTCAGCCCCTGGGCTGTTACGCAAGTTAATTCCTGCACAAGACTCACAACAGGACTGTGGAGGAAGCAAGGGAGCGGCGGCGGCGGCGGCGGCGGCGGACTGGGAGAGGCCCTCTGGCCAGCGTGAGCCTCCTGGTTCTTCCCTGACTGCACGAGGCCTTGAAGCGGGGCATGGAAACGCTCCACTCTGGGGCGGCGGCGGCGGCGGCGGCGGCGGCAGGGGCTCTTTGGGCTTGTCGAGGGTGTAATCTTAGCTGTCTGGGGAACGTGTGTCCATTTGTAGGCAGTAGCAGTAGCCCGACACGTCAGGGCGGCGGCGGCGGCGGCGGCGGCGTCTGTGTGTCGTCTGTTGTAGGAGTTCATCCACACGCGGCGGCGGCGGCGGCGGCGGCGGCCTTCCTCACATCTCAGGCCCAGGAACCAGGCTGGCGGCGGCGGCGGCGGCGGCGGCTTGGGGGTGGGGTGGGGTGGGGTGGGGAGATGCTCAGCGGCGGCGGCGGCGGCGGCGGCAATCCGTTTCTGTCACATGAAGGTGGATCTCCTAGCGCGGCGGCGGCGGCGGCGGCGGCTGGGGTTCAGAGGGAGATAGACCAAAGGACGAGAAGACAGGAGTTCGGGGGGCCGGGTGCAGTGGCTCACACCTGTAATCCCAGCACTTTGGGAGGCCCAGATGGGCAGGTCACTTGAGGTCAGGAGTTCGAGACCAGCCTGGCCAACATGGTGAAAACCCATCCCTACTAAAAGCACAAAAATTAGCCAGGTGTGGTGGTGGGCGCCTGTAATCCCAGCTACTTGGGAGGCTGAGACAGGAGAATCGCTTGAACCCGGGAGGTGGAGATTGCAGTGAGTCGAGATTGTGCCACTGCACTCCAGCCTGGGGTACAGAGCAAGACTCCATCTCAAAAAAAAAAAAGAGTAGCCAGAGACAGCTGTGCACCTCACCTGTCTTCTCCCTTCTCCCTTCTAGTGTCTTCACTGTATTTTCTTTTAAAAAAACAAAAAAAGATGGCAAAAATAAACCACTCAAAAGAACAACAAAAAAACCCAGCACAAAACCGACGATGGAGTTTGTTTCTTGCGGCGGCGGCGGCGGCGGCGGCAGATGAGATGCCCTCAGCACTGAGGATTCTTGCCCCGCGGCGGCGGCGGCGGCGGCGGCCCTTCAGGCTGCCAGATGCTCCCCTGACAACACCAGGCGGCGGCGGCGGCGGCGGCGGCCCCTGCCCGGCCTCCTGTTCCTGCCCCCACCCGTCAGCGGCGGCGGCGGCGGCGGCGGCGGTCCGGGTCGGAGAAGTGACAGGTCCCAGAGCCAAAGCCGGCCCTCGAGCATCACCAGGCAGTGGTGTGGTCAGTCGAAGGCAGTTCCCACCGAGCGGCGGCGGCGGCGGCGGCGGCGAGATACGCACAGCCCCACCCACTCTGAGATGACAGGCGGCGGCGGCGGCGGCGGCGGCTTTCCAGTGTCCCCCTGGCCTCCAGGCCCCCCCTCTGCGGCGGCGGCGGCGGCGGCGGCAGGTTGTGGGGGTCGGCGTCCCTTGTGTGCGTGTGTGCGGCGGCGGCGGCGGCGGCGGCAGGACAGCAGGTGCCACGGCCTGCCCCGCCTGCCAGGCGGCGGCGGCGGCGGCGGCGGCCTACTAACAAGGACATGGGGGTGGGTGGTGACCTCCGCGGCGGCGGCGGCGGCGGCGGCCCTCACTGCCACCGATCCCCCTCAACCCGTCATCAGCCGGTGGCAGCTCCATCTTCCGTTCCTGGTTTTAGGGCAGAATCCATGGAGACTACTTCGCGGCGGCGGCGGCGGCGGCGGCACAAATTACTTCCCTGGTCCTGACAGTCACCTGGGGTCCCCCCTCTCCCTGGGTTCCACCTTTCTGAGGAGGAGCCTGGGGTCAGGGCTGGGTTTGCGGCGGCGGCGGCGGCGGCGGCTAACACCTCTTTTTGTTTTTATTTTATTTTATTTTTGCGGCGGCGGCGGCGGCGGCGGCTTTCCTAATTTATTTACCTCTGTTTCCCCTTTTTCCGCGGCGGCGGCGGCGGCGGCGGCGAGCAAAGCTTTTTATTACTTTGTAATTTAAAAAACGCGGCGGCGGCGGCGGCGGCGGCTGGGGGGAATTTTGTACTTTTTTCCTGTGTAAATATTGGACTTTTTTGAGCTTTATTGTGGTTGTTAATTTGAAGTAATAAAGTAGAAAAGATAAGCGGCGGCGGCGGCGGCGGCGGCCACCTCTGTGCCCTTGGGACTCTCCCCGCAGAACCAGAAGTGGGTCTTGCTGGGATCAGCACAGTCAATGAGGAACAAGCCCTCGCCCTGGAGGCGCGGCGGCGGCGGCGGCGGCGGCCAACACTTGGGCTGTGGTTGGGGTGTCCAGGGGGCTGCGGCGGCGGCGGCGGCGGCGGCTGCCACGCGGGGGTCTTGTAAAGAGGGTGGGGTGGGGCGGCGGCGGCGGCGGCGGCGGCTCCAGCTGTGTTGCTGGCCTGGGACCCCTCTTTGAGGCGGCGGCGGCGGCGGCGGCGGCACACATGGTTTATCCACACAAAAATTCTGAGTTAGGTCCTGTTAATAGCTCTACCTTTGGACAAGAAACTGGTCCTGCTGTAAAATATCTTGCCCGCGGCGGCGGCGGCGGCGGCGGCGGCAAGACTTGAGCCCAGGCCATCTCGCTGTGTGGGGCGGCGGCGGCGGCGGCGGCGGCCCACCGCTGACCCTGGGGCTCCATGAGGGAGGGTGCGCGGCGGCGGCGGCGGCGGCGGCCTGGGCAAGGTCCTTCAGCCAAGCCTTGATAAAAGGGCAGCGCTCAGCCTCGCCTGCCTTGGTCTCACCAGCTTGGAAAAGAATCTGTCAGTCTGGCGGCGGCGGCGGCGGCGGCGGCGCTTTCGTTAAGCCAAGAGCCATTACTGCCACCGTCGCGGCGGCGGCGGCGGCGGCGGCCTAATAGGCTAATAGGTCTACCAGGGAAGCGGGTGGGCGGCGGCGGCGGCGGCGGCGGCGGTGTTTTGAAATCCTGGACGTAGCTCAAGGCCCCTTCCAGTGCTGGCCGTCAAGACCCAGTGACCCACAGGCTCATGGCCTGGTGGAGGGTTTCGCGGCGGCGGCGGCGGCGGCGGCGGTGGGGTCCCCTTTACAAGCATCGGGTTTCAGGTGGCGGCGGCGGCGGCGGCGGCGGCCAGTAGGCCCTGGAATGGCAGGTGGTAAGCAGAGCCGCGGCGGCGGCGGCGGCGGCGGCCCGGGAGTCAGTGGTCACTTGGTCAGCCTGTGAAGTGCGGCGGCGGCGGCGGCGGCGGCGTTGAATGAGGTGCTGGGGGAATGCAGCAGAGGCCGGCGGCGGCGGCGGCGGCGGCGGCTGGAGCTTAGGACCTTCTGGGATGGACAACCTGACAGCGGCGGCGGCGGCGGCGGCGGCAGCTAGAGGCCCTGAGAGAAAGTAATAAGGAGCTGGGCGGCGGCGGCGGCGGCGGCGGCAAAGTATAGTTCCTCTTTTTCTTTTTTGGAGACAGGGCGGCGGCGGCGGCGGCGGCGGCGACTGCGGTGGTGCAATCATGGCTCACTGCAGCTTCAACTTCCCAGGCTCAAGGGATCCTCCTGCCTCAGCCTCTCTAGTAGCTGGGACCACAGGTGTGTGCCACCATGCCTGGCTAATTTTTGTATTTTTTTGTAGAGATGAGGTCTCACTATGCGGCGGCGGCGGCGGCGGCGGCCCTGGGCTCCAGCAATCCTCCCACCTCAGTCTCTGAAAGTGCTGGGTTTACAGGCATAAGCCATTGTGCCTACCCTATTTCATCAATTGTAATAAGCGGCGGCGGCGGCGGCGGCGGCTCTTTTTTGGTTTACTTTTTGGATATGAAGGTGTTTGCGGCGGCGGCGGCGGCGGCGGCTAAAAAGCTATAATTGGGCCAGGGGCGGTGGCTCAAGCGGCGGCGGCGGCGGCGGCGGCAGGCCCAGATGGGC